TAAATCATTTTGGATCAGAGTGGATTGAAAACTCCAAGAAGGTCCTGTTTGAACTGTGTCCTGGCACGGGGCAGCGTTGTGTAGCTCACAAAGGGCAACTGAAAGATGTCAACAATGTTAAGAGTTGTCTAAAACTACTGAATGAGGTTGGTGAGAATGTTCCTCGCTTTGTGTCCTATCACTTGGATGATTTACCATCAGTGACTTTTAATAGCCTCGATGTCTCTTGCCTGGTTAGTAAGATTGAACACCTAAGTGTAGAGTTGGTCTCCATGAAAAATACTGTGAGTAAGCAGTCGACTGAATGTGAGAACCTTCGTGGAATAACTACAGACATCAGTAAACGACTGAGTGTGATTGAGCTGCCCAATGCCAGCAAGGGGAATGTTGCTACAATCATGGCCAGGGAGGAGGCCCATCTACATGGACCAAGTCAGAGGGAGCCTGCACCCGGACCCTCGGCGTTGCCCGTCATTGAGGAGACAACTGGCGGGGGGATTGAGGTGGCGATGTCCCCTGCATGGAGCCGTGTATTAAAGCATGGCAAGCGCAAGCAACGTTTTGGAAAACAATCTACTGCTGCAGTACAGAACAAGACTAGTATAAATCCTCCTAGAGAGAAGAAGACCTATGGAATAGTTGGAACTGGTGCAGTGGAGAACATACATGCAGTGACAACTAAGCTGGTGAGTGTGTTTGTGACAAAGCTTGCTCCTGACTTAGACTCAGAGACTCTGGCTAGTTATTTAAAAGAACAACTTTCCAGAAATGTGACTTGTCAGAAGATTGGCACTGAGTATACTCGCTACAGCTCTTTCAAAGTTACAGCTGAATGCAAGGAAGTAGCAGAGATGTATGCGCCGCAGTTGTGGCCAGAAGGGACCTATGTAAGGCGCTTCTATGAGAATCGCAAGCCTAGGGCTGCGGTAGGTGCAGGTATTAAAGCACCACTTGATGTAGAGATGAGTGCGCCTGAACCAAGGGCGTCCCATGCATGTTAAACAATGATAAACTGCTATGAGAGTTGTGTCTTATAACTCCCGTGGTCTGCAGCTTGGACAGGATGCTGGAGCGAGAGCCCAACGCAATGTTATTGACAAGCTCTTTGAGAATGCTGATGTGGTGTGTTTGCAAGAGACTTTTTTAGCTATTCAAGATCTGGATAAACTCAACACTGTGAATAATGATTTCCATGGGGCAGGGGAATCCACGACAGACCTAAACACCAGAATTCTGCGTGGTAGGATCCCAGGAGGTGTGGCCATATTCTGGCACAAGGAACTTGACCCTTTGGTCACTGTGATCAGGTTAGATGTGGACTGGTGCATAGGAATCAAGGTAGTGCATAATAAGAATGTTTTTATAATCTTAAATGTATACACTCCATATGAATGTCACAAAAATGAAAATGAGTACTTGAATAAGCTTGCTTATATAGGGTCTTACATAAGGGAAAGTGAATATGCATCCATATTTGTCTTGGGGGATCTGAATGCTGATATATCAGATACTAATTCACTTTTTGGTCAACACTTGACACAATTCTGCAAAGATAACAAGATTATGATGTCCACTAAGGAATTACTGCCAGCTGATAGTTATACACATGTGAGTGAAGCTTGGCATACTACATCCTGGTTGGACCATTGTATATCTACAGCTGATGCACATGATTGTATAAAGGAGGCTGAGATCCTATATGGTTTGGCCACAGCAGACCATATTCCTGTCTCTATGTTCATAAATATTGAGGGTCTACCTGAGCTTGTCTATAGTGACAGCCATAAATCGGGTGAGATACTGGATTGGGCAAGGCTCACAGAAGACGACCTGCAATATTACAAGTTACTGACTGATGTGCACTTGAGAAATATTGAGTTACCTGTTGATGCAATTATGTGTGTGGATAGCAGCTGTAAGAATGTAAGTCACAATAATGACCTATGTGTAATGTATGATAGAATTGTGAACTGTTTAGTTGATGGAAGTGAACCACTAAGAAGCAAAGTGGTGAAACAACATATTGTAAGACCAGGGTGGAATGACTATGTCCATGATGTTCATATGGAGGCAAGAGGTGCATTTAGAAGATGGGTCTTAGCAGGCAAACCTAGGCATGGCCCAATCTGTGAGCACAAGGTATGGTCTAATGCTAGGTTCAAATATGCTGTGCGTTTTATAAAAAGAAATGAGCAGACTATGAGGGCGAACTCTATGGCGAGAAAGTTACAAACTAATAATGTTTATGAGTTCTGGAAGGAGGTGAAAGTGGTAAACAACAGCAAAATGCCACTGCCTTCTAGTATTGATGGCATTTCTGAACCTGAAAACATTGCAGAGCTATGGAGGAGACACTATGAGAACATTTTTAACTGTGTGAAGAGCGATGTGTTTAACATAGGAGAGATGCCTCACAGTGATGGTGAAGTCATCAGGCCGGAGGAAGTATGTTATGCTATTGACAAACTTAAAATGAACAAAGCCTGTGGGCAGGATAGAATAACAGCAGAACATCTGAAATACGCTAGTCAAAGTATTTCAGTTTTACTTGCTCTATGCTTTTCTGGGTTAATGAAGCATGGCGTACTTCCTGGATCCATGTTATCTGTCTTGCTAGTGCCTGTAGTTAAAAATAAGACTGGTAAATTAACTAGTATAGATAACTATAGACCTATTGCACTTGCAAGTACACTATCTAAGGTACTAGAGGGGATCCTTATGGATAGGCTTGCAGAATACATAGCGTCAACAGATAATCAGTTTGGTTTTAAGAACAAGCATGGAACTGATCTGTGTATTTATGCACTTAAAGAAATTGTTCATAGGTACAGATCTCGCAATAGCACAGTCTTCATGTGTTTCCTGGATGCGTCAAAGGCTTTTGATCGTATCAATCATGGGAAACTGTTTGGTAAACTACATGAGCGTGGTGTCCCCTCTTACCTCATTAGGATACTGCAGTTTTGGTATTCTCACCAAACTATGCAAGTCAGGTGGGGGATGAGTTTGTCAACACCTTTCTATGTCTCCAATGGAGTACGGCAGGGCGGAATTCTGTCTCCGCTGCTATTCAATCTGTACATGGATAATTTATCTAGGGAGCTAAAGGGCTGTAGAACTGGCTGCTTGGTGGGGGATAGTCTCATTAATCATATGCTTTATGCTGATGATTTGGTGGTACTGTCTCCCTCCAGTGCTGGCCTGCAGCAACTTCTTAGAATATGCTCTCAATATGGACTAAAGTTTGATATCAAATTTAACTCAATGAAGAGTGTGGTACTGATCGCTAGAACCAAGGAGGATATGAAGTGTGTCTATCCTTCTTTCTTATTGGCAGGTGAACCACTAGAGGTTGTAAAGAGAGTTAAATATCTGGGACATGTGATAAGAGATGACCTTTGTGATGATGATGATGTACAGCGTCAGTGTGGAAAACTATATGGGCAGGCAAACATGCTGGCACGCAAATTCCACATGTGCACTCCTGATGTTAAAATCTCACTCTTCAAAACCTATTGCACTCCACTGTATACTGCCCACCTGTGGTGTAATTTTAGTCAGTCGAAAATGAAAAAACTTCAAGTGGCTTATAATGATGCACTGAGAATTGTGCTTAAAATTCCTAGGTGGAGTAGTGCCAGTGAAATGTTTGTGTCTAACAATGTGCCCACTTTTAACGCTGTTTTGAGAAATTTTATGTATAGATTCATGTGCAGACTGACAGGGTCTAAGAATATGATCATTGTGGCCATAACTGATGTTTCTAAGAGTGACACAAGGTATACATCTTGCTTTTGGAAACATTGGACCCGAAGCCTGTATGTGTTTTATAAATGATGCCTCATCCGCATCATTTTTAATTGTTTTGTATTGTTTTTTACATCTGTACTGTGTTGTCTCTATGGACCTCTGTGTCTTGAATAAAAGTTGATTGATTGAATAATAATACAGATACATAATATTTAATAATGAAATAATATTAAAAGATGAAATTTTGAATCTTCAGTCATGTCGTCACGGGTGTTGAGTCGTCTCTTCACAGGTGTTGGGTCGTCTCTTCACAGGTGTTGGGTCGTCTCTTCACAGGTGTTGGGTCGTCTCTTCACGGGTGTTGAGTCGTCTCTTCACAGGTGTTGGGTCATCTCTTCACGGGTGTTGAGTCGTCTCTTCACAGGTGTTGGGTCATCTCTTCACGGGTGTTGGGTCGTCCCTTCACGGGTGTTGGGTCTTCTCTTCACGGGTGTTGGGTCGTCTCTTCACGGGTGTTGAGTCGTCTCTTCACGGGTGTTGGGTCGTCTCTTCACGGGTGTTGAGTCGTCTCTTCACAGGTGTTGGGTCATCTCTTCACGGGTGTTGGGTCGTCCCTTCACATGTGTTGGGTCTTCTCTTCACAGGTGTTGGGTCTTCTCTTCACGGGTGTTGGGTCATCTCTTCACAGGTGTTGGGTCTTCTCTTCACGGGTGTTGGGTCATCTCTTCACAGGTGTTGGGTCATCTCTTCACGGGTGTTGGGTCGTCTCTTCACAGGTGTTGAGTCATCTCTTCACAGGTGTTGGGTCATCTCTTCACGGGTGTTGGGTCGTCTCTTCACAGGTGTTGGGTCATCTCTTCACGGGTGTTGGGTCGTCTCTTCACGTGTGTTGTGTAATCTCTTCACGTGTGTTGGGTAATCTCTTCACAGGTGTTAGGTCGTCTCTTCACGTGTGTTGGGTAATCTCTTCACATGTGTTGTGTCATCTCTTCAAGGGTGTTGGGTCGTCTCTTCACAGCACTTAGTGGGGAAGTGTAGTGTCATAAATCAGTGGTTCCAAATCATGTTTCAATCAAACACACCTGATTCAGCACATCAGCTCATTAGTAGAAAATCCAAGACCTGAAATGGGTGTGTCAGACAATATGCAGTGCTGGATCTTTGTAAAGATCATCAATTATTAACTTAGTTTCATTTCCACCACTTCACTCGTATTTGTTCTCATGTTCATGTTTTGTGTGCTCATGCAGTGGACTCACTACGATTCTCCGAGGGAGAAAACGTCACTCTAGACACCGGTGTAAGTGAACTACATAGGGATCATCAGGTCCTCTGGAGGTTTGGATCTGAAGACACCATTATAGCTCAAAGAGATGGAGACACCAATCAGCTCTCATTTAATGATGTTGATGACGGGAGATTCGGAAGCAGACTGGAGATGGATGATCAGACTGGATCTCTCAGTATCATAAACACCAAAAGCACAGACTCTGGAGTTTATCACCTACAAATCAGCAGCAGAAATAATGTCTGGTATAAGAAGTTTAGAGTTACAGTATGGTGTGAGTAGCTTGAGTTTTAATGAAATGATGATGTTAATACCCCTTATATTCAGTATTCAGTGCTCTTATGATAATATTTTTCTATATTTTTCTGTTGCATGTTTTGGCGTGACATGAAGTGGATACACTAAAAGTGACAGCGGGAGAATCTGTCACTCTAAACACTGATATCCCTGAACTAGAGGAAGACAGTAAGATCCTGTGGACACATGGAGATAATGACACCTGCATTGCTGAAATCAACAGAGCCACCAGTAAGATCTCATTGTATCGTGGTAATGATGTGCGATTCAGAGACAGGCTTCAGCTGGATCATCAGACCGGATCTCTGACCATCTGGAACATCAGCATCGCACATTCTGATGTTTATAAACTACAGATCAGCAGCCGCACAGGGAACCGGTGCAAGAGATTCGTGATTATTGCAGACGGTCAGTATCTCATGTTTTAACGTAATAATAAGTTGTTTAGATTTACAAAACTACAATTTATAGATGCTTTGAATTGAACTAACCCTCGAAGGGTTATCTACATGTGTTTCACTTGATCTTATGAGCACATTTCTCTTCTGAATGGTTGTGTGACATGAAGAAATCAAAGTGCGAGAGATGGAGGGAGATCGTGCCGAACTAAACACTGATGTTCGTGAACTACAGAGAGATGCTCTGATACTCTGGATGTTTGGCCCCGAAGACAATCTTATAGCTAAAGCTGATATGGAGAACAATAAAATGTCAACATATGATGGTGTTAATGGCAGATTCAGGGACAGACTGGAGCTGGACCGTCAGACTGGATCTCTCACCATCACAAACATCACAAACACTGACTGTGGACTTTATAAACTCAAGATCATTAGCAGCAGCGAGACCAAATACAAGCGATTCAAAGTTACTATTCGTGGTGAGTAGCACAAGTTATTGATTATTATAATGATCTTATTTAGATCAGATCTCTGTGTAGATGCTATAAAAGGCACACAGAGTAGTTAAATATAAAATGTGCAAGTAATAAATGCCTTAGTTAAAATGTTTAGTAAAAATTATATAATAAAAATGATTCAGTTTAAAGACAGAAGTCCTACATCCATGCCCCAGTATTAAAAAGCAAACATATATAGGATAAACACCCTTTATTAAAAAGACTTATATTTGGCTAAAATGTATCTTTTGATGACATTTACACTCTGTATGGCAGTGTATTGTACATAAACAGTAACACACTCTATGCAGTTGCAACATCAACAGTCATTACTGTCTTTTCACCGTCTGTGATTCTTTCTGTTTTCTTACAGGGAACAGAGGGACAGAGATCAACAGAGAAGATACTGAGGGATCCCTTCAGAGAGAAGACTCAGAGGGAATACACTTGCTTCCAATGAACAGCAGCAGAAGTGTTTGACAGATTAATCTTATTCCCATTTAAAATGAATAAAAAAAAACAATTTTTTTATTGTATAAACCACTAACATCCACCCCACAAACAGACACTCAAGCCCTACTTTAACAATCTAAGCTCAAAGCGCAGGGCGCAAGTGCACTTAGGACGTCCGAATCGACTTTTGCTAGTTTAACGATGAGTAAAATGGTCGGCGCTCCCGGTGCATGGTCTAAAAGGGTTGATATGTAGTTATTCCACTAGTATTCCTCACCTGATGTATGTGAAGACATGAAAAGCAGGCTAATTTGCACGTTTAACTAGTGGCGGCTGGTGCTAAGATTTTTTGGGGTGGCGTAACAAACTGAAAATCACACCGTCAGCAGCGAAGGATTGAATATAACTGTTAAATAGACATTTGACAGGTGATATAACCGTCCTTAGCTACAAAAACAGTTGCAATTCGTCTGTTAAAGCGTGTAATAAGGTACCACTAAATGTATCATCTATTATTGTTTTGTGTGTGCGTGGCTCAGGGAGGACGGCATCCTAGCTATCTATTGGCAGCCATCACTGTGTTTAACCTTGAGGTCAGAACATGTTTATGTGTCTCTAAAGGCAAACAGTGTGTCAGATACTTGAACACTCTCCTCATGAGGGTAGGCTAGATTTTCCAGTATTTTCATGACTCTTTTATTGCCAAAACATATATATATCTACAACAGTAAATCTCTTGTCTTCCATGTTATTCTCCTACGCTGTTGATGTAGTCCGGAGAACGCAGCCTCACTATTGGCCGACGCTGGTCACATGAGCACCGCTGTCTAATGTCCTTTCGAAAAATCCTCCACATTTGTTGGTTTTCCAGCATATTTTGCATATTTGAACCTTTTCCAAAAGTGACTGTATGATGTTGAGATCTATCTATTCACACCGAGGACAACTAAGGGACACAACTATAACAAAGTGTGAAAACATTCAATGATGTTCTAGAAGGAAACATGATGCATTAAGAACCAAGGTGTGTCAACTTTTTTAAAACAATGGTAAGGGTAAATTGTACTTATTTTGCCTTCAGGGAGACATGAAAGTATATCCGGCAGATTGGGAAGGGCAGTATTAATTGAAAAAATATGTCCTGCCCCTGATATGTCTGCAATAATGAATGTACTGTCTTTGCAGTGCCCTTTACAAGTATATTCATGCTTCAATTTGGTTTTTAATTAGTGTACATTTTTTAGGGTTTCATTTTTATTCATTTTGTTTATTCAGTTTTGCTTAAAGTGTCTCATGTTTTTGCAAAATATTTAAAACCTTTTTCTCAATGTAATTGTTCAGTTGAATGTTGCAGTTCTGCTGAAAATATTTGAGGTCCTGAAAAATAAAAATAAGTTTTGTTAATGCGTTGCTGAGTTTGTGGCTTTATTGACAACTAGTTTTGATAAGCTAATATGACGCATTTTTATGTTGAAGGCCAGTAGCATTTAAAATGTATGCGTACGCTAATTTATAGAGGTTTATTAAGAGATGAGTGTCCGTTTACGGAGATGCAACTGATTGTCCCCTTGAATTTGTGAAGATTTTACATTGCGTGCACAAGAAGATACAGGGATTTACCGGTGAGGGAGTGAACATTTCCATCCATGTTCAGGGGTTCATCGTGTTGGTGAACGTACTGAGAAAAGTTTGTTTTGATCATTAAAAGCAATTTATGAAAATTGTGTGTTTTTCTATGGCTTCTAAGACGAGAGCCAGAGCCCAGCCCTCCAGCACCGCGGAGATATCACTTGAGAGAAATAAACTCGCAATTATGACTTTGCAAGTTTATATCTCGCTGACACCTATTATTAGTCTTTTTGTGATTTATTCCGAGTTATAAAGTCCAATTCAAAGGAAAAAATACTTACTCAAATACCCCACAATTCTGACTTTATAACATGCAATTCTAATAAAAGGTTTCAGAAGGTGTAACTCGCAATTCTGAGGAAAAAAGTTATTATTTTTTCCCTTAAAATTGGACTTTATAACTAGCAATTGCAACTTTATATCATGCAATTCTTGTAAAAAGTCAGTAATGAAGTAAACTTGCAATTATGAGAAAAAAAAGAGTCAGAATTGTGAGACAATTACTCATGTTTTTATTATCTGCTTTAGCATTGAATCGCAGCCCTCTGAATCGTAATCGAATCGAATCGTGAGGTGCCTACAGATTCCCACTCCTAAGAAAAACGTTTGTTCATAACTTTGAGAGAAACTTGACAGAACATAGCTAAAGTAATGAGAACGTTCCCTGTTAGCAGGGTTAGCATGTGCTCAGCTTTTAGCATGCGCTTGCCACGAGTTCTCTTCATTTCCGCCCTTCTTCGGCTCTTTGAGATGCTTTCCGTAAACCGTTTCCTCTTTCTACTTTGAATTACTTTTAAAATCACTTAAATTACACTTAAGTTGTTTCTGACTTCACAGTGTGACTACAACATGGTAATTGATTAAAGATAATTACATTTTCAACAACCAGTATCCCTGATCACATTGCAGAGTTCCAAACCCTATATTGGTTATGCATATTGTTTATCAGACATATAACCATAACAATAATACAATAAAAATCAATATGAAATCTCTGAGGGCAGAAGCTTAACTTCATTAGTGTATGCTCTTATAATGTCAATAAGAGAGTTTTCAAGAATAGTATGTTTTTAAAAAGATAAAGAATAAATGACAAAAATAACAATACAACTGCTTTTTTCTCATATTTATGAGAGCATGTACAGCACAAATGTCCTCTTCAGCAAAGTGCCCAGAGAATTAATGTTCATACAATCTTTAGGAAGCGAGACAGACGGAGAAGGTGAAAGGAATGATGGAGAATGTGAGAGAAAGGGAAAATAAGAGGAGGTTGAGTACGCTTCCGAAGTTGGAGTTGGATGTTGGCATGAATTCAACAAATCCAGGTGGGTTGCTGCTCATGTAAGACTTGATCCAGTCCTGGTACTGAGAAACTCGGGTGTACCCTACAGGATATTTGGGGTCATCACATCCTCTACTAAAACTCACAATGCCGGACTCAATCCACAGGGAGCCGTTCCTACTGACCATTGGACCTCCAGTGTCGATCTGTATTGACAAACATTCAACATTTATATCTCTGACAATATACAGTGAACAACTGTTCCAGACACAAGTATGCAATCGTATAGCCCAATGGTAACAGTGTGCCGGCTATGTTGGACACATATGTGCACTGAGGGGTGTTCATTTAACACTGGGGATTTAGCTGTGTGTGTCCACCAAAAACTCTTCCTCTTCTCAACATGGACCGCGTGTTTCCGGGTCAGGGTTTATGTACATTTTAGAGTTCATGATGTCACTAACCCAGTGTCGTTTTGTAAATTGCTTTGGATTAAAACAAAGGTTGAAATGAATGACTGGTATCTTACCGGACATATATTTTTCGCTCCCCGATCTAACAATCCAGCACAAATCGTATTGCTTGTGATAATCGGTCCAAAAGCATTATAACAGTCACTGTAGCTCACAATTGAGATCATCCTCTCCTGCAGTTTATCAAAAAGCTGGCCTGTGATACAGATCAGAGGACAAATTTCATGGCTTTTAAAAACCATTTCTAGGTACATTGTTGACGTTTTCAGTATTGTTTGTATTCAGTTAACTGGCAAGCTTTGTTCACTCACCGGTGCCCCATCCAGTGGCCCAGCTCTCTGTACCTGTAGGAAATACACTACCAGCTGCCGCCAGACAGACAGGCTTAATGTAATCAGAGAAAGTCACAGAAGAGGAGAGCTGGACCAGCGCTATGTTGTTGTCAACCATGGAAAAGTTATAGTTAGGATGTCTGATGATTCGACTCGCTGTCCTGGATGTCTCATTAGGGTTTGAGCCGGACTGGCTCAGACGCCCGAAGTACATCACAATATGAGATTCATTCAAACTGTAAATAGATAAAGTATGCTTTAATACCACTTTTAACAATTTACAAATGTATCTTAAGTGTTAAACCTCATACCCCAGGAAGCAATAAGCTGCAGATAAAACCCAGTCTTTAGTGATTAGAGTCCCGCCGCAGTTATGGTGAAGGCCTAAGATATGAATGCTGACTTGCCACGGCCAAGCCCCCGCCGTCGCATTCTCCCCTCCGACAACCCTGCCGTTGAGGGGGGCTCTTCCACATACTGATGAGAGAGATCAATATATGAGATTTGCTTGTTAAAATGCCTCACAAACATAGAAGACACATTCTGAGTTTTCTGGTCATTATTACAACTTACCATCTAACTGGCACAGGGAACCTGTGTGGGTAGACAAAGACAAAGTAAGTAGAGAACCATTTGGACAGAGCTGATAAACTGGTTTGTGTAGCCCACAATCACTGTTTCTGTCATGGAAAGATCAACGGGATCCAAAAGCAAATGCAATCAATGAGAGTATTAAACGTACAAAATAAACTCAGAAACACTGTAGAGAGGCGGTCAGATGTTGCAGACTGCTGGTGGTAGCTGACAGGCTTTGGCAGTGAGGAACGGGTAATCCAACATGAACAAGAGGCAAAACAAAACTGGAACAGCAACTAGACATGGCAAGAGAAAATGGCTTACATGAACCAAATAAACGGAGCCACTCCTATTTAATAAGAAAAAGAATACAATTTGCCCCTGGAAGACAAGCTACCTTGGAACAATGACGCCATTGGATGACGTCGGACCGTAAACTCTCAGGCACAAACAACAAGGTGCGAGACAAAGCATCAGGCTTGATGTTTTTAGAGCCCGGACGGTAAGAAATGGAAAAATTAAAACGACCGAAAAATAGAGCTCACCGGGCCTGCCTAGAGTTTAAATGTTTGGCAGATTGGATGTAGGGGAGAGCGGGGCACAACCTAACGCATTTTGGTTTTGGCTCAATTATTAAAAAAATTATTAAGTTAGATTCAACTTTTTTTTACACAAGCAACATACACATCTCTGCTACAAATGAACACTTAAAGTTTTTTTCTAGGACCTACCATTTTCGTACTGTTGCACTGAAAGTGACAGAAGTGCAAATGTTACAACTTACCCCATATGCGGGGTTAATTGTAACAGACAGAGGGG